ATAATGTTGTAAAAATCATTTGCTACAGATCAGCTATTTCTGACCAAGTTTTAACTACAGGCAAGAAAATCATAGACTTCAAAATGATTAATTATGAGTTGCTAGTCTAGTCTCTTGTTTACATTGCTTTCATTCTAGCAGAAGAGGATGTGATTTCCAGAGTCAATGTGCCTTCGTTTGGGCTTGCTCTTTATTCTTTATCTTGTTATTTTTCATTTCTAAACTCATACAGGTGTAGAGCCTTCTTTACACAAAGTAGAGCACATGGCCAAGGAAAGGATGTGATTTCCAGAGTCTGTTCCTACAACTGCCCTAAAAGTACAAATACTTTAAGAAATGTAGTAGATTGATTTAAAGTCACAATACACTATAAGTGAGAATTTTTTCAAGATAAAACAGAAAGATGCCAGGTATATCAAAAGAAGGGATGCTTCAGAAGGGAACCACACTAAAAGGAGATTAAATTCCCCCAAAACAAAGCTTACCTACTTCATAATTTTGATGAGGGCTGGCAGACTGGCACTGGAGAGGCAGTAGAGACACAGAATACTCACCCAGGCTGAGTGAGATAGGAGATCCAGGATCCAAATAGGAGTTCCAGGCTGTAGCATTGTCATTTATTAACTGATCTTCTCTAACTCCTCTGAGACACACTTTCTTCACCCACAAAATCTAAGATACGTGACAGAGGGAGAGAAAGAGAATCAGTTTGATCTCTATTTTTAGGTTTAAGATTCTTAGATTATGCTATTTTAGGTTTAAGATTCTTAGATTATGCTATATTTATATAGCACCACATCCACGTAAGTACCAAACACACAATTAGTCTATGTTATTGGACACACACTCAATATGGGCTTGAGTACAGCTAAAGAAACATAAGCAGATTCAAGCTTTTGGGTAATCCATACAAGAGAGCAATGATATTAAATACTATAAAATCATGTAAGTGATGGCATGTTAAATTTTTCACTGATAGATAAGTGGGAATTCATGTTATATCCAGTGAAGACCCTTTCACAGTTATATTTGGTTAAGGTACCTTTCCAGTCCTGTGTTTACACAGGTAGAATCACTTCTTTTCTTTTTTGAGATGGAATCTCACCCTGTCTCCTAGGCTGGAGTGCAATGGTGCGATCTCAGCTCACTGCAACCTCCACCTCCCGAGTTCAAACGATTCTCCTGCCTCAGCCTCCTGATAGCTGGGATTACAGGTGCTTGCCACCATGCCCAGCTAACTTTTGTATTTTTAGTAGAGATGGTGTTTCACCATGAGGCTGGTCTCGAACGCCTCACCTTGTGATCCACCCGGCTTGGCCTCCCAAAGTGCTGGGATTACAGGCATGAGCCGCTAAGCCTGGGCACCACTTCCTTTTTCTATTTATTAAAATATTGGTGGGGAAAAGACCCTCTGGCATTTGCTGTCTCATTTGTTCCTTTGTTGTAGTGATAGGGAAAGCCATCAAACGATATTTCAAGAAACAGATAAGATATAGATGACTTTTTAGATCTCCTTCTGGCCTTATGGTTTTACATGTGGTTTTACAGAATAAAAGTAAAATAATGATTATCAGGCTAAATGGTAATGTGGAAGTACAGGGATAATTCAAAGTTTAAGAATTCCTTCCCAGCCGGGGACAGAGGCTCATGCCTGTAATCCCAGCACTTTGAGAGGCCAAGGTGGGTGGATCACGAGGTCAAGAGATCGAGACCATTCTGGCCAACATGGTGAAACCCTGTCCCTACTAAAAATACAGAACTTAGCTGGGCGTGGTGGCACGCACCTGTAATCCCAGCTACTTGGGAGGCTGAGGCAGGAGAAGTGCTTGAACCTGGGAGGTAGAGGTTGTAGTGAGCCGAGATCAGGCGACTGCACTCCAGCCTGGTGACAGAGCGGGACTCCATCTCAAAAACAAGAAAAAGAATTCCTTCCCCATGTTTACCTGGTGTGCTTTGCAAGGTCTAAATGACATCAATGATAGAATTCTTGCAAGCAACAGCAGCAGGGTTCTTGAAGGTCCGTTGTCACTTAAAAATTTTTTTCTTCCCTTTATGTTGTTAGAAAAATAGACTGAAGATTTCCCTGAATGGATAATGGAATTAAGTTTCTCAAATATGGTCCATGGACTGCCTGTCTGCACCAGCATCATTTGTGGTGCTTGTTCAAAATCCATATTCCTTGGGAATGGAGGTTTCACCACTTCAAGACCCACAGAGACTCCATTATGCTTTATGCAGGGTCACAGATGCCTCTAGAATGAAGTAGATACTCCTTTTGAATTCCCGTGATGTGAAACTGACAGCAAATATTAATCCAAAAGCAAAACTGAAAAAAAAATTCGTATTCTTGGTCTGTACCTGAGATCATCTTGATGGATCTCAGGTATGCTTGTATTGTATTAAACCCTCTGGTGTTATTTACACACAATAATGTCTAAAAATCACTATCTAGATTAAGAATTGACATTCTATTGCATCGGATTAGTGATGCAATGAAATTTAGGTCCAGAGTTTTTATCATTCAATATCCAAAATACGTGGAAGTGACTTTTATATAGCTTTCAAAATATAACACTTGTAAAATAGACAATAAAAACGAGCTTTAAAAAGAATAAAATCAAAGGCTGGGTGCAGTGACTCATGCCTGCAATCCCAGCACTGTGGGAGGCTGAGGCAGGCAGATCACAAGGTCAGGAGTTTGAGACCAGACTGACTAACCCTATCTCTACTAAAAATACAAAATTAGCCAGGCATGGTGGTGGGCGCCTGTAATCCCAGGTACTCAGGAGGCTGAGGCAGGAGAATCTCTTGAACCCGGGAGGTGGAGGTTGCAGTGAGCTGAGATCTAGCCACTGCACTCCAGCCTCTGCGACAGAGTGGAACTCAATCTCAAAAAAAAAAAAAAAAAAAGAAAGAAGAAGAAGAAGAAAGAAAGAAGAAGAAGAAAGAAGAAGAAGAAGAAGAAGAAGACGACGAAGAAGAAGACCATTCCATAATACTGTTAACCAAGGAAAAACAATAGTTGAAGACTATTTGTGTGAATTTCCTTCAAGTCTCCAAATATCATAATAGAGATCATCACTGGTTCTGAAAACTCCCTAGCTCTTACCAAAATGCCTTGCACATAGTAGGTACTGAAATATTTGCTGAGTGAACAAAGTGAGTAAGTGAAGCTGAAATCAAATTGTATCTTTGATTTGGGTCACATTTTTTATAAAAATATACCAGCATTAAATAGAATATCACTTTCTGACTCTCAAAATTGATAACAAACCAATACTAGTACTTCGGTATCAGATATTTTTCTAGCATTTTAGCGATATTAATTTAACTCTAACAGCCACATGTCATGTAAGTGCTATTTTATCCCAATTTTTAGATCAGGACACTGGAGCACAGAGAGTTTAGGTAACCAACCCAATACCACACACCCAGTATGTGGCAGAGCTGTCTCCCAAGGCTTTATCAGACCAGGTTAATCTACCTGTTCATGGTCATAAAGTCATCCACCTTTTATAAACAAACATGTGCCTAACATTTACCACTTCAGCTACAGGAACTTCTATATAACATAAAAAAACTCTCCATTAGGAAACTGTATATTAGGTGATTGTATGACAGTTAAGATTGAGCCTACCTTACTCTGCTACTGTACAAAACTCTGCAAGGGCGCCCGTACCACCCCAGGTGTGGGATGCGAAGTGCATCGGGCAGGTACGTCCGCGCACATCCACACTTGCTGTTCTCAACCTCAATAATCATGTTTACCACATGAGCCTCACAAGCTCACCTTTTTTTTTTTTTAATTTTTTTTTTAGACAGGGTCTCATTCTGCCTCCCAGGCTGGAGTGCAGTGGCACGATCTCAGCTCACTGCAGCCTCGACCTCCTGGGCTCAGGCGCTCCTCCCACCTCAGCCTCCCGAGTGGCTGGAATCACAGGCACGCGCACCACCACATGCGGCTAATTTTTTGTATTTTTGATTTAAGAGATGGGGTTTTGCCATGCTGCCCAGGCTGGTCCCGAACTCCTGACCTCAAGTGATCAGCCCACCTCAGCCTCCCAAAATTCTGTGGATACACAAGGGAGCCACCAACTTCCCAAGTTTAAGGGTGAAATGGAGGAAAGTTCATGTAATACTCAGCGAAGTCCAATTCTTCCCACATCTTTCACTTGGGCCACACACAAAAATTAATTAGAAGTGCACCGTTCTGTTCACGGTGAAGAGAGTGCGCTCACCGTCGGTGGCGTCCACTGGAAGCCCTGGGTCAGGCCGGGAGGGGGACAGAGCCTCCTGCTCAGGACCGTTATCCGAACTGATCTGCTCCCCACCGCACCCCCAGAGAAACCCACGCCACCCCCTAAACCTAAGAAACCCAGACCCCGCAAACCTGCACGAACAGAGCCATTTCCTCCTAACGTGTGCTTCAAACCCACGAAGCCCAACTGGAAGCAGGACAGCGTGTCTGCCCTGTACACTATTCCTTCTCCCCCAGGCAGCCGCCGCCAATCTCGGCAGCGGCCGCCGATTCGGGCAGCTGGTGGGTCCTCGTGGGGTTCCGCGAACGTTGAGCCGCCACGCGCAACCGGCGCCGGCTGGGCCTGCAAATCACCTCCCGGCCGCCAGGGGGCGCCGCGGCCGCGAGAGCGAGGCCGGTCGCCCAGGAGGGGGCGCGCGGGGCCGCAGGAGAGGAGGGCGCCGCCTCGCTAGCCCTGCGCCCCTCCCCCGAGCGCCCTACAGGCGCGGCTGCCCACGAGGCTCCTGTGGGCGAGGGGGCGGGGACGAAACGGCCCCGAGGATCCGTGCGCGGCACGGCGGCGGCGCGAGCCCGAGGGGGCGGGGAGGCGCGGGCGGGCGTGCGCGTGCCGGGCGTGGGCGTGGGTGAGGGTAACCGGCGCGGGCGCCGCGACAGCGCGGGGCAGAGCGACCCGGCTACCCTGGACAGCGCATCGCCGCCCGCCCGAGTTGCCGCGCCACAGCCGCTGCGGATCATGGTGAGTGGGACCGCGCGCCGCTACCGCCGCGCTTTCTTTCTTTCCTGGACCCACGCACCGGGCGGGAAAGGGCCGAGCTGGTGGCTGCGCGGGCGCTGCGGGTTCGCCGCTGGAACCCGCTACCCTCGGAGGGGCCGGGTCCGCGCGGGCCTGGGGAGCGGGAGCTGAGTGTTTGGGCCGGGGGCGCGCGGGTCGGCCCGAGGCCCGCTGGTCTCGGGAACTTTGTCCAGGTTCCTGCTCCCCGGTCCCGCCCCAGGACCTCGAGGTAGTCGCTCGCGCTCAGCCCCCTGTTGCATGCACGGGGCTGGCGCCCGGGATGCCCGAGGAAGCCGCCCCTCCTTCGCGGCGGCCATTCCTGCCCGCAGCCCACCCTTCGGCCCCCGGAACCTGCTCTCGCCACCGCCCGCCGACGCCTGGAGCGGAAAACGGCGTTTCCCGCGCGCGGCACCCACCCTGCCTCTGGAGTCCTGGGGTTCGGACCCTAACGGTTAAGCTCCCGCCCCTCTCCTCCCTGCACCCCGGGGGTGTGTCTGTGTGCTCGTTGGTGCGTCCTGGGTTTACACATTGGCTTGGGAGGGGGCTGGGTTTTATCAGTGTCTGGGCTTGGAGGGGCTTCTGGTGTGTTCTTTACGACAACTCCTCCCTGTGCCCGGTTTCCCAGGCCAGTCCTCCACTCTGGATTAATACCGCTTGCTCTCGGCATTACGCTGTGTGTGTGTTGGGGGTGGGGGGCGGTGTGTTCCCCCGGTCCGATGAACTGCCTGAGAGTTTTAGCAGAGCCTGGTTCTTTGGCTACAAAGGGAGAACATCTGTTGTGCTGTCCTCAAAGGACCGGTCTTGAGGCAAAATGTGAAATCCGCGTTTGTCTTCAGGGGTCTATATTCAATTTTTGCCTCTCCCCCTTCCCATAGGGTTTCCTCTCCACTTCAGGGCTTATTAAAATATGCTAACCTCCTTTCTCTTACCCACTCCATCTGATTTTGCCCTGGCTACTCCTTTAGGCACATACTGTCTGCCTGATTATGTGTGACCACTTAATCTTAAAATTCCAACCTTTCCTACCCCGCCCACCACAGTGTATATTCCCCTTGCCTGCTTCATTTTGTCTTCTCTTGAGCCTGTATTATTTAGTGTACTGCATATTTTGTTTGTTTAGCTTTTTTCTTGAAAGTCTCCTCTACCAGAATGTAAGTTTCAGGAAGACAGATTTTTATCATTTTGTTCTTTACTGTCTTTCTAGTGCCTACAGCCGCACAGTAAGTACTTGATAACTCTCTTGAATTAACCCAATAAAGCAAGCTGCCTTATGCTAATGCACAAGTGGAAAGCAACTGCAAACATTTTTCAGCTGACAGTTGTAATGATGAGAGCCTCAAGTGAATTTGGGAGGAGGGAGATACTCCCCGAGAGGAGGGACCCGATTTTGGCAGCCTTCAATGACAAAAGCTTAGGCGGCTGTCTCTTATGCCTGGTCTGTCGCTTCATGCTCTTGGCACCTTGGCATCAGAGTGGACAAGGCATTTTTAGGGCCAATTGGCTCTCTCTTTGGGCTCTGAAGCTTTGTCCCAACGTGTAGGAAGGAATTGTAGTGAGTAAGGGAGTAAGTTCACTTATTAGCTGAATAGAAAAGTCATGGGAATGTTTAACCTAAAAGAGCTAAAATCAAGGGCAAGCTCTTGAAAGCTTTATCCTGCACAAGTGTGATGCTTCCTGTTTCGATAAGTATTTCTCAGAAACTTTGGGTCTTCAGAGGAATTTTTTTTTTAAATACCAAAATCCAAATTGTATTACTTTTTTTTTTTTTTTTCTTTTTTGTGGCAGGGTCTCACTCCTTCTCCCAGGCTAGAGTGCAGTGGTGCAATCTCGGCTCACTGCAACCTCCGCCTCCTGGGCTTTAGTGATTCTCATGCCTCAGCCTCCCGAGTAGCTGGGATTACAGGCGTGTACCACCACACCAGGCCAACTTGTGTATTTTTGGTAGAGACAGGGTTTCACATGTTGTCCAGGCTGGTCGAACTCCTGACCTCAAGTGATCAACACCCACCTTGGCTTCCCAAGTGCTGGGATTACAAGTCATGAGCCACTATGCCCAACTGAAATCATACTATTTTATTAAAAAAAAAAAAAAAAAAGTGGGCCAGGGAGGAGGAAGGTTAGGGGGTTTAATTTATACGTAAATTAGTGGGTCAGTTCAGAGAGACACTCTTTTGAATACATGTCCAGTATGAGCTGTCTTGTAAGATATCTCTGCTAGTTAGTCTTATTCCAAATTTTTTTTTTCAAATTTCCTTTTGTTTTTCTATTTCTATAATGTGGATTTATGGCAGTGGTTTGAAAAGAATTAGTCTAGGGAAATGTATTAATTGTAAATAAATTGTTTAATAAAATTTACATGAGTAAGTTTTTGAAAAAGATGTAATTAGAGCTGACTATACAAGTTCAGCAGTTCTGTGGTTACCATCTTTCCCAGATAGGTAGTAGAAATTAAATGTAAAAAGGAAAGAAAGTTTGTCTTTGAAATTAATACCAATGAACCAACCAAAGGTAAATGAAAGATACTTTATTGACTTCGATTTATATTTGTAGGAGATTTTACTGTTAAGATTCCTAGGATTCAAAGTATCCAGGCTTTTTTTCTTTCTGTTCTTCGCAAGTAAGCATTTTCAAGGAGTACAAAATCCATTTTTAAAGGATCCAGTTGAGTAAGCTTAATTTTTGGTTCTTCAACAAAGGTTCCATTTAGTTTAGCTTCCTTCAAAACGTTTTAGTCACTTTGAGAGGTCCAGGTACTTTCGTGCTCCAAAAGAGAATGTTGAAAATTTGTCAAGTAGGTCTGTATTATCTATCTAGTTATGTTCAGAACACAGGGCCCTGCTATTTAGGATTAGGTGGATGATCGTCTCTGTTGGACAGTTGGATATGTACCATCTAACTTGACGGGTTTGCATTTCTGGGAATAAACATTGATAAAAGGAAAGAGGTTGCACCGGAAACGTCTTTAATGGCTGGATATGGTGAAAATATGCCAGCATCAGTAGCTCATTGTAATTCTAAAGTTACAAATCCACACGTTTGTAGCTTTTCTTCTTAATGGAATTGGGACATAACTGACTTTGACAGTGAACCAGCCTAATAAATACTTAATTTAAATATGACATTTAAAATCTAACCATTTAATAGTTAGAGAGCATACTTGTTCTGAAATTTATGTGACTGTTTAGAACTTGAGATCTGGGGTCATCATGGACTTGAATCCTAACACCAACATTTAACTGTGTGACCTTGGGCCTCAGTATTTTATTCTATAAAAGATAGTGTTTAATAAGGTTTTTGGGAGGAACAAATAAGATGGTGCCCTTTATGTGTCTAGCATAGTGCTTGGGGTGCTCAGTAAATATTAACTATTATGATAATGTGTGTCCTTTTTTCTTCCATATCTATGTTTAGTTGAGATACTTCAGAATAATGTCTCTATCCCTTTTGTGATCTTAATATATAACTAATATTGCTGTCCAATAGAAACACAACATAAACCACATATGTAGTTTTTAGTTTTCTACAAATCACATTTAAAAAGTACAGAGACAAGTGAAATTAGTTTTAATAATGTTATTTAACCCAGTCCCTGCATATATTTCATCATGTAATCAATGCAGAGAAAAAAAGATTTTAAATTCTTTTTTTTCCCATAGAAAATCTTCAAAATCTAGTGTGTATTTGATGCTTAGAGCCCATCTCAGTTCAGGGTACCCATATTTCAGTTGCTCAGTGGCTGCCTCTGGTTAGAGGCTACTGTATTGGACAAACAGCTCTAGATTGCCCACAGCTTCCAAGTTTGCCTCTTAAAGCTCTTAGACCCTTTCCGCTAGTGAGAACCTCACTGCCACCTTAAACCCAGCATTACAAAAAGAAAGCTACTCATCTTTCAGACTCTCTACTCTGTTCCCTTTTGCTGTTAGTAATTCCACCAGCTCTTCGGTCTACTGTGTCTGAAATCGGATTCGTATTCTCTTTTTTCTTGTATGCTGTTTGTTGTCTAATATTCTCATATTTTTATTTGAACATATTTTTTTCTTCACTCTGACTTCATTCTTCCTACTATATATTTGAAAATGTTTTAAAATCTCTTTCCCCCACCCCTTGAGCCCGGTTTCCAACATTTTTGCCTTATCTACAGATTTCCTTTTTTTTTTTTTTTTTTCTTATTATACTTTATGTTCTGGAGTACCTGTGCAGATCTTGCAGGATTGTTGCTTAGGTACACACATGCTGTCTCCGAGTCCCTGGGCTCCGCACTCTTTCCTCATCCCTTTATACTGTCAGAAATGAACCTATTTTATAGGTTATTCCTACCCTTAATACTTTTCCTTTGTCAAATATCCAGAGAAGTATAATTAGTTTAACTGATAGTCTGACATTAAAATGATTTATTCAAGAGGAGAAGCACAAATGAAGGAGAAAAATAAGCTATGGGAAGGGAAGATGAAACCATTCTTTGAGCTTTATATGCCTTTCAGGAAATATCAGAAGAAATAGATTCTAGTAGTCTGTAGTACAGTAATTATAGTTAACAATTTATATTTCAAAATAGATGAGAATTGTAATGTTCCTAACATAAGAAAAGATAAATGTTTGAAGCGATAGATATTCTGGTTACCCTAACTCGATCATTACATTGTATACATGTACCAAAACGTCACATGTACCCTGGGAATATGTACAACTATGATGCATAAATTAAAAAATACAAAGAAATATCATGGAACTGATTAATAATAATCACAATCACCACCCCAAAGCAGTGAAACTTGATTTTTTTTTTAATTGTACTTTAAGCTCTGGGCTACATGTGCTCATCCCGCAGGGTTGTTGCATAGGTTCACACATGCCATGGTGGTTTGCAGTCTCTGTCCCCCGTCGGCTACATCAGGCATTTCTCCCACTGTTTTTCCTCCCCAGCTTCCCTGCCCCCTCGCTGTCCCTCCCTTAGCCTCCCCAACCCCCTAACCTGCCCCAGTGTGTGATGTTCCCCTCCCTATGCCCACGTGTTCTCCTTGTTCAACACCCTCCTATGAGTGAGAACATGTGGTGTTTGGTTTTCTCTTCTTGTGTCAGTTTGCTGAGAATGATGGTTTCCAGATTCATCCCTGATGTTTACACAGTGCTTTCTAAGAAACAGGGCACCTTCCTCTGTGCCTGGTGAACAGAGGGACAAAACAAAAGAAAGGCACTGGACAAAGAGTCAAGAAACCTGGGTTCTCGCTGTGGCTTTATTATTTCCTAGCTCTATTCCCTTGCTTAAGTTGCTTTGAGACACTGTTTACACACCTGCTAAATGGGGTATTATCTCTGTCGTGAGATTGTTTTGTTAGAATCAAATGGGGCCTCAGCATTTTTACATTGGCTGTCCTTTGGCTGTGTAGATCTGTCCCCCTCGCCCCCCGCTGACCCGCTGGCTGCTCCAAGAGCTGTGTGTCTGTCTGCCAATACTTTCATGACTAGACCTACCCTAATCACTCTACTAAAACTGGAACCTGCCTTATA